GGAAAGAAGGTAGCTGGTTCTTCTAAATGGTAGAATATTTACTTGCAAATTCATGAATTTTTAATCAATAATTGGCAAAATCTGTTTCAAGTAAAAAATACATCTTTGCCAACTTAGATGAGTGAAACTCGTTACTAATTGCTATATTGATTTTGTATATGCAAATGTGCTTTTAAAGGTCCTGACAAACTTTCTCCTAAATTGATTTACCAGGTCTCCTACAATTTGTCTGTACCTGTAGTTCGATTAGTAAGCCTTTTACTGATATTGTTGAAGTCATTCTCAAAGCACCTAAAATGTAAACTTCAGCTCATTTCATGTCAAACATTCTGAAATTCAAAGTTTAGAGAATCCAGAATACATAAAGTTTTACAGCATGTATATTTCTTGGATGTTTAAAAATATGATAGCACATATATTTTAAATGCAAATATTTATGACTTGGCACCATTAATGTATTTATAATTTTCAAAATCAGTAATAAAATTAAAATTCAAAGTAAGAGAAAGGACTAATAACATTTCTCTCCAGCATATGTGTGTGTGTGTGTGTGTGTGTTTAGGGGTTGATGTGCATGTTTTTAATTTTATGAGTCATATTGAAATTTCTCTGAGACTAGGAACTATATTACTTAGGCTAGTAACTTATATAGTGGATACCAATACATTTTAAAAATTCATTCAACAAAATTTGTTGAGCACCTACTCTGTGCCCAAAACTAGGATACGAGATGATGATACAAATCTATTAATAAATAAAATAAATATGATAATTTATTAAATACAAATGAATAATGATCACAGATTGTCTTGCTAAATTCTATGTAAAATACATATTTCTGCATTACGTTTAGCATATAATTCCATAAATTATAGTTTAATCCTAATGGGAAAAAAATAAATTTATTCCTGGATACATTTGATATAAAAATTTTTTATACTCCTTGAAAAATAGCTTTTCTAAATGGGTAAAACTGCCTTCTGAAAGAAACAAGGCTCAACAAAATTTCAAGAGCAATGAAAAAAATAAGCAGTAAAACTTCCTTTTAGTTTGAACCTCAAATTAGATCTATGTAGAACAGCATATTTCATAGAACCTCTATGGAAGCAGGGTAGAACTAGACAATGTGAGAAGGAAATGTCACAGGAATTAGCTTTAAGATAATAAATCAAAGTCTCATATGCATTCATGGCCCTATTAGGATTGACTGTCTACTTTGCAGGTTCCTCAGCATTGTGTTCCACTAACTTAAGTGAGGATACGGCAGACATACTGCTGTCTACCATTAGCTACTCAGAAAAAAGTGAATGCCTCAGAAGCGTCATAATCAGAAGTTATTTATTTATTTTTATTTTTTTTGAGACGGAGTCTCACTCTGTCACCCAAGCTGGAGTGCAGTGGCATGATCGCGGCTCACTGCAACCTCTGCCTCCTGGGTTCAAGCAATTCTTCTGCCTCAGCCTCCCGAGTAGCTGGGACTACAGGCGCACACCACCACACCCGGTTAATTTTTGTATTTTTAGTAGAGACGGGGTTTTACCATATTGACCAGGCTGGTCTCGAACTCCTGACCTCGTGATCCATCTGCCTCAGCCTCTCAAAGTGCTGAGATTACAGGAGTGAGCCACTGCACCCCGCCATAATCAGAAGTTATTACTCAACCGTAATATCCAAATGCTAACAGATTCATCCAAGAATCAAAGGAAAGTTCAAAATTTTGAAAGCCCGTTATTTTCAAAACAGAATATAACATACAATATTTTATTTTATTTTAAAAATAAAGCATCTGATAGAGCACTTAATAATAAACTAAAACGTACTTAGTTTACTATGATTTGCACCAATGGAAGTAAGCTCTGTGGAGCACTTAAATGCACAGATGATTCCAAATCCACAATATTTTCTTTTTTGCCCACATATTTATCTTCATAATTAGTTTTGGTATATCTAATAGTTTTTCTTCTCCAATAGAAAGAGGAAGTAGCACCTTACATCTAGATGTTTGCAGAGAGAATATATATCTAATGATCATATAATAAGACTTTTAAATCCTTGAATGAGGGAACAAAATCTTTGAATCCTTTTTTCCTCCCTACGTTTTATGCATCATGTAGCGTAGGACCTTGTACAGAATAGGTGTTCAAAACACAAGTGGTCAAAGAATATTCATTTACAGATAATTAAGATTTGATGCTCATGTATTAAAAGAAGTAAGAGTATTTTTAGTCTTCTGGTAGTTCTCTTGTATTACAGTAAAACAATAATTCTAGGTTTTGCTAAGGATTGTACTTTTTGAACTAATATATTACTTTTGCAAATTAATTTGGTAATATTAGCTATTCTAACAAACATATCTCCACATTTTATTGGAGTAACAAAATAAATGGGTAAAGCCTAATGCATATTTTCTTAGTAAGTGGGCAGCATTCCTCTGTGTTGTAATTAAGGGATTCTCCTCTTTGTCTCTGGGGTTCTGCCTGCCCTGGGTCTTAGAAGTCTCTGCATTCAGCTAAGGATGGGAGTCCATAGACTAGAAAATGTGTAACCGCTGCTTAACTGCCTTGGCCTGAGAGGGACCAACCACCTCAGCCCACAGTCTGTTGATCAGAACTAGTCACATGGACCTACTTGGTCAGGCTAGAAATGGGATCCCTCACTGGGCAGACACTTCCCAGAGTGAATTATACTAAGGAAGGGAAAACACATTTTTTTGGTAGACAAAAGTTGTCTTTTTTCAAGTTTTTGCCCGCTACGATTTCTTGATAAGCAGGACATTGTCAAAGTCAGCATCTGGGAACTGAAGTAATCCCTTCAAAATGTAAATTCCAAATATAAGGTATTCTCATGCAAGCGGTAATATAATTATGGACTGCTAGGGCAGTCTAATATGGGCGTTCCCAACTCCTAGGCCACAGAACAGTACCAGTCTCTGGCCTATTAGGAACTGGACTGTACAGCAGGAGATCTGCAGCAGAGTGAGCAAACATTACTTCCTGAGCTCTACCTCCTGTCAGATCAGCAGTGGCATTAGATTCTCATAGGAGTGCAAACCTTACTGTGAATCGTGCATGCAAGGGATCTAGGTTGCACGCTGCTTATGAGAATTTAATGCCTGATTATCTGAGGTGGAACAGTTTTATCCTGAAACCACCCCCCACTACCATCCATGGAAAAATTGTCTTCCATGAAACCAGTCCCTGTTGCCAGAAAGTTTGGGGACCTCTCGACAGGACAGAAAAAGAATGGCAGTAGGAGAGGGTAGGACATCTGAAACACTATCTGAATTAAAAAGATGATCTGGCTGTCTACTTCAGGAGGCCAAGTGTATGAACACAAGTTGTTGCTAGTTAATATGCTGCTGTCCTGTTTCCCTTAGAGCAGGATCCAATTTTGTTTAAGAGGTGTCAGTGTTGCAGCAGTTATGGAATCATACACAGGCATTAAAAGTTCCTGTTGATAATGTGTTGGGAAGTGATTATGAGTCATAACTTTTTTTTCCCCATACATACCTTAGCTAGGAGGTGTCCTAGACTTGTAGCGGACTAAAGGGTGTGCCTGAAAGGTGTGCCTTTATTTCCTATCTGTATCGTGTAGTTTTATATGGTGCTGACATTTTAAGCCTTCTGATCTTGGTTCAAAGATGTTTATCCTATACTCAGTAAAAACTTAGTCCAAGTAACGGTGGGAACTTCATTTTTTTCTAATATGTAGGAGAGAATGTCTTGGCCTTGGAAATGAGCATCCCTGGACATGGTTTCCTGGTCTTTCTGAAGCAGGCCCTCTTCACCCACAGGTCTTGGCATCGCTCCCTCACTGTGTGCCATCTGGCCAGGGACCAGCTTCCCAAATCTGCCTTAGCAACTAGCTCTGCCTGTGCTCAGGAGGCTGTTTTAAACAACCTCTTCCTGAGGAGATTACAGTGACCTCTCAGAGCTCATAATTTTATGTTCTCTGAAAATTCTAGGCTTTATTGAGGGCAAGAACAATTTTCGAATACACTCCCTCCCCACCTAATTACCCACCACAGTGTCTGGCATATAAATAAAAGGAGTACAGAAAATATATTTATTGAATGAATTGTCTAATTGCCACCCAGTATCCTGGGGTTGGAAATTGGGCAGAGAATCTCAGTGCCAGTGGCAGGCTCCCTATCCTGGTGGGATACACCCTTCGTCTGCTCTTTTTGCTAGGCCTCCACAGAGGTATCTAGTGTGTGTTTCTATACAGTGCAGTCCACATCAAAGCCATGCTGCAGTACAATCAGTCTCTTACTCAAAATTTTCAAGTTTGAGTTTTAATCTAATCCTTGTCTCCAAAACACTTCTGGCTTCATCTCCTAGCTCTAAACTTTTTTCGTTTTCGTGTGTGTGTGTGTGTGTGTGTGTGTGTGTGGTATCAAATCTTTTATTGGACCCGTGGTCAATTGAGGAAATAGGAAAAACCTGATACTGAAGGACTTTGGAAATAAAACAGGAAAGACGAAGGGTGAGAAATTTATTCAGATTTCTTCATAATTCCCCCCAAAACCTCCAACCACGTTGCCAGTCCTTGGGTGCTGCGGTTGGTCGCGGAGAGGGGCTGTGTGGAGGTGACCTTCTGGTAGACGGAGACCCGCTTTTCAGACTCTGTGGCACAGCAGGCGGGCCAGGAAGGAACATTTGGGCCACTATCACTCTTAGCTCTGCCAAGCCTGACTTTCTCTTCTCTAGTTTCTTTTCAACCGGAGGGACAAGTGTGGGGATCCGCTTTGGACTCCAAGGCCCTGCCCGCACTGGCAGCACCAAGCGGGTGTAGAATGACTCGAAGGAGCAGGGAAGGAAGATGGGTGTCAACTGTCCCGGCCAGTGGCTGCGTGTGTGTGTGTGTGTGTGAACAGGGAAAAGGCCACCCTTTCCCGTGTTTCTCCCATCTCCTCGGTTCTTGGAGATCCGCAGGGCTGTCCCAGGTAACTCCGAGTTGCCCTGGGTCGCTGGGGCTTGATCCGCATGCTCCTCCGCTAGCCCGCTCCGGCGTTCCACAGCGCCCCGCCGCTCGGTGTGCACGCCTGGGTGGGACACAGTAACAGCCCCTACGCCGCCAACGCAAAAGCAAAAACAACCGTACACTCCATCGCAGTCGCAGCTTTTCTTCGCAAGGTAAGTTGTTTATTCGTCGCCGTTTTGGCGAACCTCCCTGGACAGCTGCGGCAGCGACGGCAGCTGCGCCGCGGGCGCCAAGCTCCCAGCCTCTTCCTTCCTCCGCCCTCTCAGGGTTGCCTCTTACCCTCACCCTCTTCCCTCCTATCCCTGCCTTTTCTCTTCTTGCCCTCTCGTGGGCCACGCAAACACCCGGAGACACCCTCTGCACTTGGCTACTCACACTGCGTCTTAACCCAGCCGACAAGGCACGCTTGCCAAAGAGGCGCGGGTGTGCGTGTGCGGGGTCCGCGTTCAGAGGCCAAAGGAGGGTGGCGTGGTAGAGCCCTTCTCCTCCCGGCCGCGACCCCTTGCCCACTCTCTTTCCCTAATCTCGGCCTGCCAGCAAAAGTGACACCTGAGCAGGGACTGGGCGGTGGAGGCTGCAGGCCCGCTGGTCCGGCAGCTGGGAGAAAACAGAGCAAGGGGCGGGGACAACGAGGAGGAGCGGGAGGAGGGACGAGCGGAGAGGCCGCCACCTGGCACTGAGTGATGTGCACTCTAGCCAATGAACGTGCGGGACTCCGACGTCGGGGCGGGAGGTCGGGGGCGGGCTCAGTGGGGAGGAGGAGGCTGCCGGCGCGCAAGAGGCGGGGGCCGGGAGGAGGAAGGGGAGGAGGCGGAGGCGGGCGCGGTGTCGGCGGCGGCGGCGGCAGCAGCGGCGGAGGGGGGTAGGCTGTGCCCGGGACTGTGTCTGCCGAGCTCCGCGACTGTGCCTGTGTGAGTGGAGGAGCGGCGCGGGGAGGCAGAGGCGAGCGCGGGCGATCGCGGCGGCGGGACGTCTCCGGCAGCCGCGGCACCAGCAGCGGCGCTCGGTGTGGAGAAGCAGCGGCAACAGCAGCAGCAGCAGCAGCGGCAGCAGCAGCGGCAGCAACAGCGGCAGCGGCAGCAGCGGCGGCCGCCTCTCCGCCGCCGGGGACGCCAAGGTGCGGCTGGTGGCACTGACATCGGCGGCCCTGCCTCTCCTCCCTCGCCCCCGGCCTTCCCCATGTGATCGGTCTTAATCCCGACCGTGTGTGCGCGCGTGGGGCTCCATTCCGCGGTGCCGGTTCTCCGTGCCGGGGTGGGTGCTCGTGTGTGCGCTTCTTCTCCCCATCCCCCTTCCCCCAAGAATAAAAGAAGAACCGGGAGGCGTGCTTAGAAAATAAATAAATAACCACCACACACGCGCAGCCCAGAGCGAGTCGGCGGGGCTGGCGGCAGCGGCGGAGGAGGAGTGAAGGCGGCGGCGGCGGAGGAGGGACGCGCGGAGAAGGCAGCAACTTTAAAGCCAGCTCAGAGCCTAGACCTCCAGCCGAGCGGTTTGCAGCGCGGCGGCGGCGTTGAGTGTCTGGCCCGCCGGTCCGGTCGGGGTGTGCAGTCGGACGGACGAGCAGCGCGTCGCTGTCCTCCGGCGGCTGGAGATGTCCGAGCCTAAGGCAATTGATCCCAAGTTGTCGACGACCGACAGGGTGGTGAAAGGTAAGCGGAGCGCCGCGGTGGCCTGGGTGCACCGTGTGCCGCAGGCGCCTGGGCAGCTCGCCTCGCCTCGCCTCCCCTCCCCCGCCCCAGGTTCTCCTCTACCCGCTCCAGCCGCGGACCTTCTAGGATATTGTGCAACCCGCGAACCCCCCGCTCCCGCGGCGCCCTTCCCCCACGCGTCCCACCCAGCCTCACTTGGGGCATTTTTATTGACGGGGGCGTCAGTTGGCAAATGGCTGAGCCGCGGGGAGGTGGCGGCGGGGGTGGCGGTGGCGGGAGGGGGCGCCCGGGGGGTGGTTGCTGGTAGGGTGTAGCTGCTGTGACAGAAATAGGAAGTGGGTGGCTGCTCGCAGGCTTGCATGGGATCGGGTTTATGGTTTTCTTCTGCAGAGGGAGGGGTGATTTATGGCTTTTAAAAAATTAATATGGCATTTTTATGTGGCCGTGGCTTTCCACCGACTGCCTCGCTCCGGCAGGGTTCTCTTGGCGCTCCATTGCAGCAATTCCCTCCGCGCCCCCCTCCCCCTCCCCTGGAAGGGCCTGCACAGGACTCGCGAGAGAGCGGGAGAGCGTGGGGGGAGCCCGGCGCTTCCTTCCGCGCGGGGCGGGGGCGGGGGCAGCCGCTGGCTGGAGGGTGGCCGCGGGGGGCGCGGGAGGCGGGGAACGACCCAAGAGCACCAGCCGTTGCCGCCCCGGGATTTCCCCCGCACGCCCCGGGGAGAGACACGAAAACCACTTCTCTAGCCTCCCTTGCCATCCCCGGCAGGCCCCCGCCGACCTGTCATTGCTCTTGAAGGGTTCTCCACTCGTGCACACCTCCCAAGTGATAACCTCATTCCGCCTGCTTCCTCCGTGCCCTGGCATCCTTTTTGTAACGGGCTGTTTGATTCCTATTACTGCCTCCTCTTCCCCGCCTCCGGGATGATAAACTCCCGGCGAGGATGGCACTGAGGTTGCTGGCAAAGAGAAACTGGGATGTGCGGAGTGAGGAAGGGGACAGGTTGTGGTGGTTCTCTCTATCGCACGGGGATCCACCGGCCTCCTTGTATTCCTAGGTGTAGTGGGGGAGGAACCATCCTATGAATCCTGGAAGGATGAGGCAGCAGAGCAGACCCGCCTGGATTAAGTAATATCTCTCATTCCTGGGGGTCAGGACACCAAGCAAAGCAGGGATGGGCATGAGCTGTGCGCGGAGCGGGCCTCTGAAATTGGAAACAGCTCTGGCTGGTGTAATGTGTGTATGTGGTGTGTAGAACAGAGATGGTATCTAATGTGGCCAGAGCATGCAGCTAGAGTGCAAGGCAGTCAAGTCCTTCGCACTATGAGCACTTGAAAGTGAAGTAAACCCAGCAGCCCAAAGACCATGATACACAAGTCCCTCTGGGGTTTCAGAAATGATTCTTTCTCCTTAGAGGTTTACTCAATTTCTAAAGTAATTTTTCTGTGTGAGTGGCAGTGGTGATGGGGGAAATTGTATTCCCTTTTTTCAGAAAGAACAAAATATCTTCTTTTGTTTTGGTTATACTGGAATCATTCCTGCTTCAGTTTCTGTGCAGGATTCATACACCCATGAAAATAATGAGGAAATAGCTCTGCAAAAATTATTTGAAATAGGGCTGCAGAGAGATGCACAGCTATTTTATTTTTCCTGCGGGCATGGATTTTCGTGGAAACAGTCCATTCAGATTTATTTGAGAGAGCTGTGTTTTGCATGAAAGGCTTCTGTTGACATTTTCAAAAATTGAGACCCTTTGCTGGAATATTAGAGAATGATAACTGTCTCCTTAGTGTGTGAACTTTAGATGTAGCTCTAATCTAGGTTAAGATCAAAACAATGTAAAACTTACAATTCAAATGATACTAGTGAATGTGTTGGCAGTTAAAAAAACACTTGTGAACACATAGGGTCACGTTCCCTGTTTTAAATCACAGGATGTGGATTCTTAATGTAAATGTAAAGTCATCAGGTGAACATGTAAAAATAAATGTTTATACTTTCTGGCTTAGTGTCTCTACCAGTTAGAATGGAAGAGCGAATGGAAGAGCCCACTCAACCATTCCAAGGCTACTTTGCCTTGGTTTTTTTCAATGCTGTATCATTATAAATGACTTTTCATTTTAGATACACACACTGTCCCATAATTTCAAAAATTTTATTTACATACTATGTGGATAATAGACTCAAAATAGGAAAAGTTAATTTTGCATTTGTTTTGATAGAGATCCTGGTGTGAGATGTGAAATGTGAAATTTTGTTTATAGAAGTTTTGTTGATGAATCCTGATTTTAAGGTGGATACCCTCTTGTTGTTTATCCTGTGTTTTCTTGTAGACTTTATATTATTGGCATGAAAGGCATTATCCAAGGTTGGATTCAACATTTTGTCGTACATAAGATTTTTGTGATTAGTTATTTGAGATAATCTATTTTGATTATTAGCCTTCTGTGAAATAATATTTCCTCTTGAATATGTATACACATATTGAATGAATGGAAAGTATGGGTATGCTGGATGTGAAACCTACTAACAAGTGATTCAATTTCCAAAAATTAGATAATACGGAGTTTAGAAACCATGATTTACTTGAAATTTTGTTAGAACTTCATCTCAATGGCTATTTAACTCATTCTTTAATACAGAAAAGAAGTTATCCTTGAGGAAGTATTTGTGCCCCTTAAGTTTTCTCTTTTTTACAAAGTATGTGCAGTATTATTTACTATATATGCATACAGAAATAAATATTCAGATTGTTATTACCATGGCATGCCGTGGCATTTGCTTACAGTTACCATTGTTAGTGTCATCTGGCTTTTGTTGTATAACAGATTGCTATTTACAAATAAAGATGTGCTTGTGGTTTGTAGTAATATGATGTGACTGTTTTCTTAATTGTACTTTTAGAATGCAGCTTTAGAGAGGTAGGTTGAGTTTGTCTCAACTATGTTATTTTTGAGGTTTATGGAATCTGCTAGCATGTATTCAGAGACCCTGATCAGTTCTAAACCTTAAAAATGAAAGAGAATGATGGCAGTGGAGATGAAAAATATTCATTTAGATTATCCCAGGAGAAAAAGTTACTTCAGTTAGCAAAACTAGTGCTGTTTCATTTTGAATCTTCTTGGATTAAAACAATGGAAAGTAGAAAAATTCAGTGAAAACATCTTGCTAATGACATTTGCTGGAAATCAAAATAATTTGATCTATTTATTGTTTTACATTATGTTTTTAAAGATACATACAGCAAACCGATGGCAATAAATAGAAGAGTAACCGTCTTCCTCCCCTCAACCCCTGTCCTGATTTTTCTCTTGGTGGTACTCTACAGGCCTTGTCCCAAACTTTGGCTTTTCTTCATTTCTCTCTATTCCTGCTTAGAATGTTTTGTCTGGCCCTAGCATTCCCTGTTGGTCATAGAACTTTGCTATGTAATAGTTAAAAATACTTAGAGGAAATTAAACCCTATGTGATAATGAGTGTTTGGCTTTGTTAAATCTCTTAACCTTCCTTCCCTCTGTTCCCATCCCCAAGTTATTTTGTGATGGGACTTTTACCTTAACTCAAACTGATTGTAATCGTAGAAATTTTGTAAACTATGGGAGGCTGTTGAGAATAAATTTCTGAGAAGAGTTTTGTGGAATCTCTCAGAAACTGTAGGTAGTACGTTGTTGTGCTTTGTGTAAGGTTGCTTTTGGCTCTAGAGAATGAGCTGTTTTCCAGGTGTATTCACAGCTTAGTACTTCATGTAGACAGAGTACACATAGGGGAATTCTGAAAAGATACTAAGATCCTATATAGAAGCAAGAAGATGCTAATTAAATATTATTAAGTAAATAAGGATTCCAGTCACTAGTATTTCTAGCTGGGTGAGACTGATAATACTACTTAAAAAGAAAACAAATATGCCACATTGGTAATAACTGTGGTGTTTAGACCTTGATGCAACAGAGTAGTAAATAATGTCATTTATTTGTGGTGTTCCAAGAAGAACTTGTGAATTTATTTTGCTGACATTTTGTTACCATCAGTT